GATACAGGGTTTAGAATTCCAGTTTGAATAACGTCCTAACTCTTTTCTCCGCATTACTCTAACTCCACTTCCTTAATTCGCACTCAATCATATTGAAATGTGACAACTGTGTGAACTGCACTGGAGTAGCACTTTCAAGCCAAGGAAGAACATGTGATACTAGCGAGTTTGTTTGCCCTTCGGGCAAACAAACTCGCTTTGGTTGCTTCGGCGCTCCATTACCTTGGTTAGTGATTAATTAATTTATTTTTTGCGAAATTGGAAACGCGTATTTAAAGTACGTCCCCATTGAAATACGTGACAAATGGTGACGAAAGTCTTGATTTTCATCAAAATCATTACTTTCATTATTTTCGGGTGCCTAACTTGAAATCTTTTCACGTGTCCCTTTTTTGTAAGGGTGGAAAATACATTTTGAAATACTTCCGTACTATAGTCTACGCTAAGTGGACATATTTCAAATGTAGGATTTTTCTTGTACTCAGCAATCAAACAGGTAATTCTGAGGGAAGTTTAAATTTTCTGCCTTTGCTTCATTGGAGCAAAAAAAAATTCAGGAAAATGGGACTGAAAAAAAGTGCCCTTATGGGTTTTAACGAAAATTTTATTCCTTATGAAATGTAGACTCAAGGAACCCCATGCCACCCAGTTTCAGCCTTATACGTTTCCTCTTTTTGATGGCGGAAAAAAATGTATTTGGAAAAGGGGAAAAGGGGAAAACCCAAAAAAAGCTGTGCTCTGAGGAGACACACAACAAAAGTTGAATTTTTCCTTAAATCAACATCACGTCCGTTATGCCTGCGCCAACTGCTACTTTTCTATTTCTTCCCGATTCGCTGGGATATGAAAAATTCTTTGAAAACGTTACGTCCCCAAGAAATATGTCCGCCCCCCAAAAAAATATTTTGGAAATTTGACATTTGACCTTTGAGCTCAGTGCGTCAATGGTCACGTTCTTGCCAAGTTTCAGCTTTCCATGTCTGCATTTGAATGAAGCAATGAAAACTATTTGAAAATATGTTCCCCGAAAAGGTGTGCCCCTATGGCATGTAACTCCAAAGTAGAATTTTTCCTGAACTCAGAATGCGAACAGCTACTTATGTCAGTCAGATACTCACGATCGTCTATATATATAATAAAAGTAGATTTTTTCATTTACTCAGCTATCCCACAGGTACTTCTTTGCCAAGTTTAAACTTTTTATCGCCCTCCGTTAAGCTGGATCAGAAAATTCGGGAAAATACAAATTTTGCAAAACATGTGCCCTCAGGCGTTTTAACTGAAAACTACCATTTTTACCGAAATCAATCCTCATTGAACTACATGCCCACAAAGTTTCAATCTTATACGTTTGCCATTTCGCTGGTGAAAAACAATGTTTGGAAAAGCCCACCCAACCAAAAGCTATACCCAGAGGGGATGCACCATGAAAGTTGAATACTCCCTCAACTCAATAATATCATGTCACTTATATGTGTGCCAAGTTTCACCTTTCCATTTCTGTCCAATTCACCACTACCAAATTTTTTTTTAAACATCGCTCCTCGAAAAAATTCCCCCATGTGATGTATCGAGACTTAACATTTTTCTTTAACTCCTTGTCTCAGTAATCACATTCATGCAAAGTTCCAGCTTTCCATGTTCATCAGTTTAACTGATGCAAAAAAATTATGTGAAAACATCTGCCTTTGAAATTTGTGCCCCCTAGGGCATCTACTTCCAAAGTCTGAATTTCTCTATATGCAGCATCCCAAAAGGTAGTTCTGTACCAATTTTCATCTTTCCACACTAGCTCAATATGCCAGGATAAAAAAAATACTTGAAAACGTCGGCCCCCAAAAATATGCCACCAGGGCATGGATCTAAAAGTTTAAATTTTTCCTGAACTCATCGTCTCAGTAGGCATGTCCATGCCAGGTTTCAGCTTTCCATGTATCTCCGTTTTATTCAAGCAAAAATAATATTATGGAGGGGCAATGAGTAACGGAACATGGAAGGCAAGAGAAGCCAAAAAGTCGGCATGGAATGGCTGGGAATTGAACCTGGGCCTCCCGAATGCCGGTCATGCCGGAGGTGTGCTACCGCTACACCACCGAAACCACAACATCAAGAGGTGCCTCTCGATGCCATTCTCATCCGTCTCAATATATATATCTTTAAAAACTTCTCCCCCCAAAATGTGTACTCCCAGGGCATGTACCTCCAAAGTCGGATTTTTTCTGAACTCGCCATCCCAAAAGGTACATGAGTACCAAGTTTCAGATTTCTAACCTTTCTAGAACATGGTTAGAATTAGCGTCAGTCAGGCAGTCACGATCGTCTATATATATTAGATGGTAGAGAAAATTATTACCAGGAAACCCGATTCCACATTTCATGCTGATAAACGTTATCTTTTTTTTCCAAGAACTCAGATATGATCACTCAGCAAAGAAAGAACATTCCATCAGCGTTGTGTGAGCGATAATTTTGAACCTTCCCACTGCTCTGGTTGCATTGCATCTAACGTTAAGTCAATACTTTAATCTCGCTTCTCGCAATACACAGACGAACGTTGATGTTCAGCAACGGCTGAACGTTGGGTCAATATTGTATTGTCGCTTATTGGAACGCTCACTCCCATTCCAGTAGAAACCCAATATTGAGTCAATAACGACGGCAAGGAATATATACTAACTCAAAAAAGAAATTCATTGCTGAAATATGATTATATAGTAAATGCAGTTCAATGATTTACCACACATAGCTATTAATTAAAGTAGGGCGGAGGAAACTTTAGTGTCTGGCACCATTTTGCTTTTGAATATGCACGATCTATAACCGCTTATGCATCAATTTAAGTTAAACGTAGCAACCGAGTGCATTGCATGTGGATGCTATTCTTTCAATGAAACCATGTGCAATTTCACGTGATACTGTTCTTACTAAAAGAGCCTGGTTCCCGTCAATACGTAGGCAGTCGCTGAAATGCAGCAAAGCTGTCAAGGATGCCAAGACCCTCAGAAACGGATCGCAATAATGCTACTGGGATCTTGGAAGCTGGTCAATTTCAATCATCAGTTGCACGACATTTTAACGTGCACCAGAGGACCAGAGGATATGGGACCGGTTCCAGCAATAAGTTCAACACGTGATCGTCCATGTTATGACAGACAATGCATAAGCACCCCTGCGCAAGATCGGTACATTCGACTCAGACATCTGTGGGATTCGTTTGCTACAGCAACCTCCCAGCATCAGTAGTGCCTGAAGGACGAACAATGTCGACTCAAACCGTCCGCAACCGCTTACGAGCAGCAGGTTTGAGATCACGACGACCACTTCGTGGGTTGGTTTTGCCAGACCGAAACAGGCGACTTCGTTTGTAATGGTGTCACAGACACAGGGAATGGCCTCAAATGCGTTGGAGAACAGTCATGTTCAGCGATGAGTCCTGGTTTTCTTCTGAGACGTACTGATGGTCGTACCGACGCCGGTGATTTCAACAGCCACCACAAGGCATGGAAATACGCGTTGGACGAATCCACTGGGGATCAGCTCATAGACTGGGTGACAACTGGGAACATGTTCCTAATGTTCGATGCTGAAGACCAGGGGTCGTATTCTATTAATTTCTTATCTTAAGATAAGGAATCTTTCTAAAATCTTAAGAGTCTGTCTTAGTAAAGTATTCAGCTCAAGTTGGAATTCTATTTCCATCTTAGCAATCTGCTGAGTTGAGCAATTTCCTTAGATAAAGCAAGATGCTTAAGTTGGTCACGTGACCAATACGTCATGCCTGACGTCATTATTTCAATTGTAGAGGAGCCTCCTTAGCGACAAGTCCCATCCTTCTCTTCCAAGGCGGTGTTTCTAAATCCAGCAGAGCGACTCCATGTTAAAGATGGATCGGAAACGGCAACCAAATTTCACAGCAGAAGAACTCACAATTCTTATGGAAGAATATCTTCAGCAGAAAGATATTCTCAGAACGGCTCTTAGTGCAAAGATTACAGCGAAAGACAAACATAATTCGTGGCTGCAAATCAAGAATGCGATGGGGGGTCGTGGCTTTTTGAGAAGTGTCAATGAGCTACAGAAGAAATTTTCCAATGTTGGATAAACAGCCAAGGAACTCGTATCGTCTTTCAAGACCTCCCGGGACTGTAAAGCAGGTGAGTCTAATCGCAAATCGCAAAAAGTTTTCACAAATGCTTCGTGAAAACTTGTTATATTTGCAGTATACATAACAGGCTTTAGCCATTTTGTTGGCTTAGCATCTTGAGGCACATCAATGAGTGGTCATTAACAGGTGGTGGTCCTCCGCCAACTCCACTCCCTACATGGGTGTCCATTTATTGGGACATAATTGGCAGAGATTCGCCAACCATCTCTGGCATACCTGATACCATTGAGAGCAATCGTGGATCTGGTGTCATGGGCGACGACTCTCCTAGCGTCCAGTAGGTAGCAAAGCCAAAGAAAACATTTATTGATCCTCATCATAGAATGATGGATAATTAAAGGGGGAAAAGGGTATAACTTTCTCTCAATTTTTTATTCATTTAGCGAATTGGTACCTTTGGAAGCTGAAGAACGCGATCGCTGTGATCTTCAAGAAGCAGATGTTGACCTCTCTGAAATTGACAATAATGGAAGAGAAAGATCAATGGAGGAACTACGACAAAGGCAACGAAGGTGACACCTCAAATGGTAATCGATCTTCAATATGAAGTACTCTTGCAACAAAAGCAAAATCTTCATACGGAGACAAAAAAGTTGGAATTGGAAAAGACGAAGTTAGAACTGGAAATTGAAGTCCTCAGAGCTCAGAAGTGGGAAAATTATTGGCGACACCCCCAGTCCCTGAACAGCTCAGTCGGAACACCATTGATGACTCTTGAGAATTTGCCCCCTGATTCCAGACTTGGCAAGAGCATTCTTACTTTTGAGAATCTCTAAAGTTTGTTCAGGGGATTCTGTCCTCTTCTCTTTTCTCTCTCTTTCCCACGTTCTCACCCTCAGAAATACTGCTGAATAAAGAAGCTTCTGATATCCGAAGTCCCCCTGGTGTTAGCTATTGGAGGGTCGCTGGGAGGTTCTGAATCATCTGGAAGAATGTCTTGGAAGTCTGCTAGGTGTTGGGATTTGCACAAGTTGTGGAGGACAGCACAGGCGTTTACCACAGTGCAGACACGCCGTGGCTCCATTCTGAGCTCTGAATGCAGACAGTGAAATCGCCTTTTCCACTGTCCGAAAGCCCTCTCTATGACAATCCTTGTCGATGAATGAGCACTGTTGCAGTGAAACTCCTGTTGTGTTTGAGGATTTGAGAGAGGTGTCATCAAGTATGGACGGGCTGGGTAAGCACTGTCACCAAGGATAATTCCCATATTAGGGGACCTCTCAAGCATTATGTACAAGTGGCTGTTCCTGCAAAATAAATTATTCATATTATTTAATCAATGAACCTTAGGGGAAAGGATTACGCTTTATGATCCCTTTATGATATGATTTTACGTACTTTGTCTGGACTTGGTAAATGTGATATGACGACCCCTACCTGAAAACATGAGCATCATGAGTCCCTCCGGGCCATCTTGCACTGATATAGGTGAAGGAGCAGTTGACATCACACATTGCCATTACATTCACTGAGTGGTAACCCTTCTGATTAATGAACTCTGCTTCTTTCTCTCTTGGTCGTTGGATTCGAACTTGGGTGCCATCAATACACCCAATAACTTTAGGTAAACCAGAAATTCTGAAAAATGCTGATTGGGAAGCTGATATTTGTCCTGCCTTTGGAAATGACAACAGCTCTGGCAACTTGTTCTCCAATACTAAAGATACTTTCCCGATGACTCTACTGACAGAAGGTTGTGAAACCGTGAAACTGTTTCCACCGTCAAGCTGCTTGTTTTCAGTTGCATAAAATCTTAAATCTTAATCTTAAAATCTAATCAATTTTTTAAATCTTAAAATCTATTCAATTTTTTACATCTTAAAATCTAATCAATTTTTTAAATCTTAAAATCTAATCAATTTTCACTTCTGAATCACAGGCGGGATGAAGTGGTTAGTGTGCGATCCATCCAATTCATGATGCAACATGTCAACAATGAAGCAAATCCAAGGGTGGTCAAATCTGAATCTCCGATCTACCTGAATCAATATAGCTCCTCATCGTCGTACACATCCAATGGATTGGTTATGTCTCGAAATATGCGATGCTCAATTTGGGCAGTACGAGTTCTAGCAACTCGCAGGAAGGCAGCCATATTGGGAAACTGCCTTTGAGGGGAACCTAAGACAAGCAGAGAGATGTCTTAATTTAAGACTCTTTGACAGTCGATTTAAGCAAGTGACTGAGCACAAGATGCTAATAAAAACTGGAAGGAACTTAAGTGTCATGCTGAGACGTTCTCTTGAGAAGTTTGCTTATCTTAAGGCAAGAAACATTGCTTAAGCAAATAATAGAATACGGCCCCAGGGCGCTTTCCATTCGTCACGATGGCGGAAAGGCTCAACCCCCGACCTGTGTTCTGTATCCTGTGCTGCAAAAGGAGAACCACTGAATGCATCCAGAACGGTTCTGAACAACTTCCCGCACAGCCAATGCTGATCCACATCGGGATTGATATCCCAACCATCTCCTCCATCCTGCTCTGCTGCCCCAATACAACTTCAGGAAAGCCGATTGACAAGCCTTCACCGCATCCTCGGAGCCACCCCGTAGCCAGCGAACAAGGCTGCTCACGCATCAGCAAATCCCATCGCAGCCCAGATGCTAATTAGCGGAAAGACGTCACAGACCGCCACATAAGACAGAGATTGAAGGCACAACTCCATCAATGCATGGCGGAATGTGCACCATCAGCCCTCTCATAACCCTTCACTTAAGAAGAGGTCACCGAGGCACTAAAAGCCACAAGATCAGGCAAGGCCGCAGGACTAGACGGGATCTATCCCGAACTTCTTTAAAACTTTGGCGCAAATGGACGCCGGTGGCTCGCCAAATTTTTCTCAGCCATCCTTTCTTTAGGAAAATACCACAGAAATGGTGACAAGCGAAAGCTGTCGCCATTCACAAGCCCGGGAAGCCAACTGATGACCCAAAGAACTTCAGACCAATCTCCATCCTCAGCACAATATACTAACGCCTCGAAAGGATGTTATTAACCAGTATGTTACCCATCTTCGAGGAGCATATCCCAGCTGAACAAGCCAGGTTTCGGCCTGGACGCAATACTTGTGACCAGGTACTGGCGCTCACCACCCACATCGAAGCGGGCTTTTGTTGGCCAGGAGATTAAGGGCTGATTTTGTTCTTCATTAATAGATACTCATTGGCCTATAATGAATTCTCTGAGAAATCTTGAGAAGTGTTTCAAGTTCACTAATTCAAGAAATAATTCATCGATCAACTGCACAGGATCTAATAAATAACATGAGTTATACATATACATCAGGAGTAAAACTGTATATGCATTGAGCAAGACTCACCCTCAGGTAGAACTTCAGATCGCACTTAATGAAAAAACAGCGACAAAAGCAGTCGTACTATATGACAAACCTTTGTCACAATTTGGCATCAAGTTTCTAAATTATAAGAAAAGTTCCAATCATTGACATTTGTACTACGTAAAGGCAAATAGAGGACCAGAAGAAGAATTAGAAAAATAGCGATGCAGGACAAGGACTTTAATCCGTAACCTTTAATGACAAAATATTTTTTCTTCCTCATTTTCAAAATATGAATTTTGTCCAAAAATTTCCGATTTTTGTACCACTGTGCGGGGGCGGGAAAGTTCCGGCAAGTTGGACATGCAGTTGCAGGTCCACTACCTATTGTGGTAGGAGGGCCACCAGTTTCCAAACTTAGGTGAACATAGTTGAACATAGAGAAACATAGTTTCCAAACCCTTTCTTGTTGAGATGTGCAATTAACGTTTACATACAGTTAATACATTGCTCTTTCGAATGGATACATGTGATGCGTCCTTGAGTGAAAGGTCAAAGGTCAAAATAGCGATTCACTTGGAGAGGNAAACCCTTTCTTGTTGAGATGTGCAATTAACGTTTACATACAGTTAATACATTGCTCTTTCGAATGGATACATGTGATGCGTCCTTGAGTGAAAGGTCAAAGGTCAAAATAGCGATTCACTTGGAGAGGTCCAAATCGTAAATATGCTTATTCGGCTGCCATTCCTGTCACGGATTCATTTCGCACAAAATCTAACTACCAAAAGTTTAATCATACTCTAAGGTAACCTCCTGCAAAATGGTACGTCTTTTCTTCAGAGCATTTTCGAGATTTTCATNATATGCTTATTCGGCTGCCATTCCTGTCACGGATTCATTTCGCACAAAATCTAACTACCAAAAGTTTAATCATACTCTAAGGTAACCTCCTGCAAAATGGTACGTCTTTTCTTCAGAGCATTTTCGAGATTTTCATCTCTTTGCTTTCACCCACTACAAAAAGTCTCGCAGGACACTACGCAAGAAATTGAGAATGGTGATGATTGCCCCTATTGTGTTTCACATCAAAATCTATCAAATTTTTTAGGAGCTACTGTAGGGAACTGGCAATAATTCTTAGGTAATTTTTTGGGGGGAGACGATGGTGTTAGTTCTCAGCAAAAATACCTCTGAATTTTTCCTTCCAGCGGTACTTTTTCTAACATAGCAGTAACGACCATTAAGGTAAACATCTCAAAAAGCGTGTACCACACCAAGTGGGGAATCCAGCTATAGGATTTTTCCTGAGATCAGACCCCCCCGATTACCTTTTGTGCCGAGTTTTAGCATTTTATCATAACGGAGCGAAAAAATTTTTATGGAATAACGTCCATGAAGAAGTGTGCCCAAGAGGTCCCCAGAAAATGGGATTTGTCCTGAAATTGGTACACCAGGAACTACTTGTGAGCTGAATTTCAGCTTTCTATGTCTGACCGTTTCCCTGGAGCGGAAAAATTTGGGAAAACGGCATCCCAAAATGTATTCCCCTTGGGAAACACCCAAAAAGAAGGTTTTATCCTCTACTCTGCATCGCAACTACTTCTGCACCAAATTTTAGCTCTCCATCATATTTGGACCATACTTAGAATTAGAGCCAGTCGCTTACTCTTCATGATCATCCAAATATCTAATATCAGGTCATCCCGTAAGTAATGTCGTTTTTCTGGCATAGCCTTACTTGTGTCTTCTTTATACATGCATCTGCGAACATCCCATTGAATATTTCTATGCTAACTTGTGCAGGGGTTAGTCATCAATATACGTGCAGGTTTTCACGAGGTAACAGTGCTCCGTTTTTCTTGGACAGTAAAGACAAGATGGAGGTGTCAGAAGAACACATTAGGCATATAATGCTTCATGAATTTAAGAAAGGGAATAACGCGACTGTAGCCACAAAAAAATTCGAGATATTTATGGTGAGGAAGCTCTGAATACGAGGAAATGCCAAAGGTGGTTCCAGAAAATCATGTCTGGTGACTACAGCTTAAATGATAAAGCACGTTCAGGCCGACCTATTGAGTTTGATGATGAACTACTGGTGGCTACAGCTGATGAAGATCCTGCTGTAACTGTTGAAGAACTTGCTCAGAAGCTCAATTCCACCCATTCCACCGTTCACCGCCACTTGCGACGGCTATGGCTATTGATCTCGCTAGTAAGTCATATAGGGAACCCTATAGGTCCTATAGGTCCTATAGGGAACCCTATGGGTCCTATAGGTCCTATAGGGAACCCTATAGGTTTCATAGGGAACTCTACGGGTCCTTTACAGAGCCCTTTGGGTCCTATAGGGAACCTATAGGACTTATGAGGAACCATATTGGCTCTATTGGGGGCTCTCTAGGTTCTATAGGGAACTCTATAGGTTCTATAGGGGACTCTATCGGTCCCGAACTGAACTCTATGGGGCATATAGGAACCTATAGGATTCCTTTAGGTTCCTATAGGATTCTTATAGGAATATATTGGAATCCTATAATACATTTTCGTAAGGGTAAGCGTCGTCGACAGTGGGCTAGTGCCGGGGAACCTGCTGTTACACAGGCAAGAAGAGGTCTTCACCCCAGGAAGGTTTAGCTGTGCGTATGGTGGGATATTCTTGGCGTTGTTTATTTTGAACTGTTCCAGCCCAATGAAACCATAACAGCGGAGGTATACTGCCGGCAGCTTCAAATTTTGAGAGCTCCATTGCAGGAAAAACGTCCTTTATTTGCCAATCGCAAGGGTGTTTTGTTTCATCAGGACAACGCGTGTCCTCATACCGCTCGGATCACTTGGGCCAAAATCTTAGAGCTGGATTGGCAAAAAATTCCACATCCGCCGTGTTCACCAGACTGCACCCTCCGATTACCACCTATTCAGAAGTCTACAAAACTATCTCAACGGAAAAGAATTTGAAAGTTTGGAGACTATCAAAAGTGATCTGTCAGCATTTTTTGCTTCAAAGCCAAAGGAATTTTATAAACATGGAATTGAAATGCTTGTAGAAAGGTGGCAGAGAGTCATAGAGAACGGAGGGGAATATACACTTGATTGAAACTTGATGCGATGCAGGTGTATTTTAATTTTGAAAAACAGAGAAAATAACGACATTGCTTATGGGATGACAAGATATAAGGCAACTAACCAATTTGGTCAAGTAGTTGCCATCACATTTCGCAGTCAGGAAATCTTGTTTGTTCGCATGTCTCGCTTGATGTCTCGCCTGACATCTGTCGATGTAACATAGACCGGACAACGTTGTAGCAATATTCACTTCAAGCTAGCTTCTACGCTTTTTTTCTTAACATTCATCAGAAGCTCCTTCAAATCTTCCTCATTTTCAACCATCAAGGTGGTGTCATCGGCGTATCTAAGATTGTTGATTTTCCTCCCACCGATTTTGATGCAAGCTGCTATTTCTTCCAGTCCAGCATTGCGCATGATTTGCTCTGCATACAAGTTGAATAAATAAGGCGATAGTATGCAGCCCTGGCGTACTCCTTTTCCTATTTTGAGCTATTCGGTTTCTCCAAAATCATTCCTGACTGTCGCCTATTGGTCAACATACAGGTTCTTTAACAGGCAGATGAGACGGCTTGGGACGCTCATGTTTAGAGTTATCCAAAGTTTGTTGTGATCAACACAATCACAAGCCTTAATATTGTCAATGAAGCACAAGTAAATGTATAATTGAAAGTCCCTTGCTTTTTCCATTACCCAGAGAATGCTAGCAATTTGACATCTTGTTCCTCTGTCTCTTTTGAATCCTGCTTGAACATCTGGCAATTCACATTCCATGAATTGCTGGAGTCTTGCCTGCATGATCTTCAGCATTATCTTGCTGGCATGTGAAACGAATGCAATATTTCGGTAGTTTGAGTATTATATAGCATTTGCCTTCTTTGGTATTGGAATATAAACTGATATTTTCTGATCTGTCGGCCATTGCTGCATCTTCCATATCTGCTGAAACACTACAAACACTTTAACTGCATCATCCTGCAAGATCTTGAGTAGCTCTGCTGTTATTCAACGAACTCCTGCTGCTTTACTTTTTCTAGGGCCCATCGTACTTCGCTTTCCAAAATAGCTCTGAGACTATTCCATCAAGTGTATCCTTGATTTTGGGACATCTTTTGTAAAGTTCTTCTGCACATTCCTTCCATCGCTTCTTTATTCTTTCCTCATCAGTCAGGTTTATACCTTCTTTATCCTTAACTGTACCTGTTTTGCAGCTAATTTTCCTTTGATTTCTCACACTTTGTTGAAGAGATCCCTCGCCTTTCTTTTTTTATTGTTCTCTTTAATTTCCTCACACTGCTGGCTATCTTTTCTTGTCTCTTCTTGCTGTTCTCTGGAACTCAGCATTTAATCCAGCAGACATTTCCCTGTCACCATCACACTTTACGCCTTTCTTAAGCTATTTTCCCTGCTTCAACAGATAACTACTTTCCTTTATTTTCCCTTTTCTCAATAGGAATATTCTTCTTTAATGATTGACCATTTACATAACATAATGATTTCTCTTATTTCTGTCCATAGTTCATCATGTTCCCTATCAAAACATTTCCATCAAACCTGTTCTTCACCCTCACAACAAATGCAAATGGAATGTTGCTGAGGTCGTATCAAGTTCGTCTGATGATCGATTTTTCTTCAGCTTCAAACGAAACTTCGATAACAGGAGCTCGTGATCTATGCCACTGTCTGCACCTGGCCTTGTTTTTGCGGACTGAATATAATTTCTCCATCATTGATTGCAAAATATGTAGGGTGAGGGCATAAAATTCCACCCTGCTTGCACTGATCTCTTTATTTTTCCATATTTTCTTTCCCCTCAATTTCTTTCCTCAAAACAAGCAAAGAAATCTACAATCCTGTTAGCTTATGATGAACACCAATTAAATTCATGGATTTCACACCTATCAACAAAGAGAAACCTTAACCCTTTCAGAGATGAATTAAGGCCACTATCAAAATAAGACACGTTCTTACTTTTAAAAAAAGTTATTTTCCCATTCTTCTTTAAAAGTTTGTTCTATATATAGATGTTATATTTTGTATGAATTTATCGTACCATACCATTATATTATATATTATATATCACTGAAGTTTGTTCATAAGATCATGGCTACTAATATGCTGGCAGTACCCGTGCTGTCTTACAGCTTTGGTATCCTTAAGTGGACCAGAACTGAGCTGAAGGGTCTCGACATCGCCACCCGCAAGGTCCTCACCGCCAATCGTAGCCACCACCCCAAGGCGTCAGTTCAGCGCATATATATCCCACGTCATCAGGGAGGCCGGGGCTGATTAAGCCTCGAGCATCTGCACGACCGCTTAATCCTGGGAATGGCCTGCAGGGTGATTCAGTCTGAGGACCCACTGCTGAAGCTCGTTTTCCATTATGAGCTCACAGGAAACAATGCTTTCCTTATGAAAGCTGCAGAGCGAGCAGTACAATCCTTGTCTCTGTCTCTAGACATCACAAGGACAGGGAGCACCTTTCAGGATCGGTCGATCAAAGAACTGTCGCTAGCCTATGTCAGCGCAGCGATAAAAAGGGCCCACCAAGCCCATCTTTTGCTGGTCCATGAGGAGAATACAATGCACGGAAGTTTCTTCCGAAATTTAAAAGATCTAGGTCTCTCCTCTACTCTCAGCCATGCTTGGCTGAAATCTGCCGGCCTTCAATCAGAAACAAAAGGATTTATCGCAGCTAATCAGGACAGTGTAATTAGTACTCTCGAGCACCGACGAACCATCTTTGGGGATGACATAGATTCCACCTGCCTGGGCGTGCGGTAGAGCACCAGATACTCTTTCCGACCTGTTGTCTAGCTGTAAGCATTATGCGACAAATCTTTACATCAGTCGTCACAACAACGCTCTGCGCGTGCTTTATTACCATCTTAGGCACGCTTATGGGATCGACAAAGATCCTACGATCCCATGGGTTCCTACAGAAGTGGAGTCAGTGGTAGAGTATCAAAATGTTAAGATCTCTTGGAATTATGCTCACTCCACGACCAGACAACTCACTGCTACGAAGCCGGACATCACTCTATGTGATGCGGTTGCCAAGGAGATCTTTGTGATCGAATTCTCCAGCCCATCAGAGAGGAATATGTCCTGCAATGAGGAGGAAGAGAGATCGAAATACCAAGAACTATTGTTCGAGTTTCGAGGTCAACATCCCGGCCACCGTGTGCACCTTGTCGTCCTGATATTGGGATGTCTTGGCAGCATGAAGGACACGTTGATGGCAGAGCTGGAGAAAATACCAGTCTGCAGATCTAAAGCTTACTGTTTGGCCTGCTGCATGCAGAAGGCCGTTCTTTTGGGCTCCATGCAACTCCTCCGCATCTACGGACTGTGTTCCTCAGCTGAGCCACCTATCGCCACTTAGCGGGACATGGCCAGTTCCATCCCGTGTGCCCGTTACCTTCATATGAAGGGCCACACTAAAGCCCCGCAGGGTGGGTGTGGTCAGGATGAAAGAGGGTAACCGGTACATTCCACATATCACATCATGTATTGAACAATAACTGAAGTTTGCAACATTGACTGGAGAGAGAAGGCGTCTGGCGGAATTGTGCCTTGCATAATTACATCCATCCAATATGGGGCGCAAAGTCACAAGAATCCTAAGATATTAACATTGAAACAGTGAACATTTTATGTCTATTGGAGTGGACGCTGAGTCTAAAAGAGTTAAACCCGCAGATAATGACCTAGAAATTCTTTTTGGACTTCTAAACGATGCTTTGATTGGAGCATCTTGATGGTGCTCCAGAACACCATAACAAGTTTTTATAATTTTTTGTCCATTGCATTATTCTTAATGGCATTCACAACACTTGCAAGATTTCCATGGCAGAAGCGTTTTCCAGCATCCCTCTCATTTTTCCTTTTGTAAATGCGAACTATTATTAAGCCTGTAAGAAGCCCCATACACAATACTCAGTAATGCATACCTTTTTTCTGATAGACTCAGGTACCAAAGTTAGCAGCACTTAAAATGTTGTATGTGCTTTGTTACTTTTACCCCACACAAAGTTGTTGCAATTGCCCCATGGCCCAAATTTCCATGGGGCAAGAGTAACATTGGACTCAACAAATGATGTGATAAGGTCTAAGTTCAAATTTTGAGATAATCCGGTTGATATTAAGATCACGTAGCAAAGGAAACATATTTACCATTCTCAGCGTCATTTGTTGAGAAGAAAAATAAAACTGCAACAGAAGAAAAAAAATTGGATTTATAATTTTCTTACTAGAGTGCGAAAATAGAAGTAAACACGCTCTTAGCCAATTACAGCGAAGCTCAAAATGTATTATATGAAAGGCGAAAGGTGGCATATTGTGGACACGAAATTAGGAAATTGAATCTAAAGTACTTGACGAAATACAGAGCATTGTTACAAGTATAATTACCCCATTGTTATTTTTGCCCCACCCTAATAGATTTGATTTGGAAGTCAACCAGCTGGTGATGTCCACACGTACAACCTTCTTTTGGGTTGATTGAAAAAGGTATTTGCCAAGAAGAGGTGGTTTTTTTTTTACAAGTTCTACTAGGCTGTCTCCTGCATCGTTCCGTATGCCAAGGCCGAATTTTCCAGTTCTTTCAGGTTCTTCTTTGCCTCCAACTTTTGCATTCCAATCACCGATGATGAGCATGGCATCCTTGCTAGAAGTTGCATTGATTAGCTGCTGCAAATCAGCATAAAATTCCTTTACTTCATCAGCATCTATAATAAGGCATAAACTTGCATAATTGTGATGTTAATAGGCCTGCCCTGGAATCGAATTACAATCATTTTGTCATTCTTTTGGTTGTATCCAAGGATTGCACTGGATGCTTCTTTTCCAACAATTATGACCGTATAATTCCTTTGGTGAGCTTCTTGACCACAGTAGAAGATGCTGTATTCCTTTGATATGAAGTAATCCATCCCAGTCCATTTTAGTCCACTAATTCCAAGTATGTCAATGTTCAATCGAGATATTTATGCTTTGACAATGTAGAGTTTTCCTTGATGCATTTTTCTCGTTCCTGGGATCACATAAAACATAAATATTTTCTCTATAGCTGCTTACGGCACCACTATTGGCAGGAAATGAAAGTAGATGTATTAAAACACATCTTAAAGCAAAGCAAGTGCTGCTATCGTGTGTAATTTACTCAAAATAAATGAAGCAAGCTCATGACGCATGCTGCGCGTCAACGATAGTCAGGGGGTTAATTGAGAATAATAAGTCTCCCTCAGTTAACGGATGTCACATCCAGATATTTCCTCAAAGTTTCTTCATGAAATGGCAATAGGCCTCGCTACCAAATTTCCTCTTCTGTCAGGCATTTAGGGTTTAAAAATTGATGGGTTATAGTTTTTCTATATGTTATACCTATCTCTGCAGACGGTCCTGGTGAATAGGTCCTCAGACGAATGGATAGGAGAACTCCGTCGTCCAGCGGGTGAGTCATTATGCGAACAGACTATATATTCTAACTAGCGAGTTTGTTTGCCCTTTCGGGCAAATAAACTCGCTATTATCGCGGCTTCGGCGGTCCATTCCCAGGATAGTGATTCATTCCATAATTTATTTTCAAAGTGACAAAAACGTATTAAAAGAATGTGGCCTCGGAATGTGTATCGAGGGAAAACAAACCGATATTTTCATTATAATAATTACTCCCATTGTTTCTTGTGTGCCTAACTTGGGATCTCTTCATAATCTATCCTGAGGGGCTAGGGTAGGTAGGTAGGGGGTTGGTGAAAGGTAGGTCATGTACTCAGCAATCGAACAGTTACTTCGGCTCCAAGTTTCAGCTTTCTTGATTACTCTCCTTCATTGAATCAGAAAAGTTTCCAAAGAAGCACCTTTTGTAAAAACTATGCCCTCAAGCGTTTTACCCAAAAATTAACATGTTTATTGAAATCAGAACTCGGAACACTATGGGCATACCAAGTGTCAGCCTTATCCGTTAGTTCATTTTGCTGGTGCAAAAACTATCTTTGGAAAAGCCGACACAGTCGAAAGCTGTGCCCTGGGGGTATGCACCACAAAACTGGAATTCATTCAGAACTCATCATAATCTCTGTTGTTGTTGTGCCAAATTTCACATTTCTATCTCTGTACAATTGAATAGAGAAAAAAAAATTGTGAATGTAACCCCCCAAAATATGCCTCCAGTGCACGTATCCAAAGATTTACATTTTTTCTGAACTCGGAGTCTCAGTAGACACGTCCATGTCCCTTTTCAGCTTTCGATGCTTACCCCTTTGCCTGAAGCAAAACAAAATATTTAGAAACATCTCCTGCTCATATTTGTGCCCCCAGGGCATTTACCTCCAAAGTCTGAATTTTTCTGAATTCAGGGTCCCAATAGGTACTTATGACTAAAGTTTCAACTTTCTATCTCTGGCCAATTCGGAAGGACTCTAAAAATTATTTAAAAAGGGACCCCTCAAAAGTATGCACCCAGGGCATGTACCTCCAAAGTCGGATTTTTTCTGAACTCTGAATCCCAAATGTGTACCAAGTTTCAGGTTTCTAACTTCTCTAGAACATGGTTAGAATTAACGTTAGTCAGTCACGATCGTCTATATATAGTGTATATTAGACTAGCGAGTTTGTTTGCCCTTCGGGCAAACAAACTCACTGTGGTCGCGCCTTCGGCGCTCCATTACCTTGGATAGTGATTAATACATTTATCCTTTGCAAAAATGCAAGCACTTATTTAAAGAACGTCCCCATTGAAATACGTAACATATCGGACGAAAGTCTTAATTTTTATCAAAATCATTAGTTCTTTCATTTCTTGTGTGCCTAACATGAAATCTTTTCTTGTGTACTTTTTGTAAGAGTGAAGAATACATTTTGAAATACTTCCCTCCAATAATCTACGCTAAGGAGACATATTTCAAAAGTAGAATTTTTCCTGCACTCAGCCATTAAACAGGTACTTCTGAGGTAAGTTTAAATTTTGTGTCTCTATTTCGTTGGATCAAAAAAAAAACACGAAAATGAGACTGAAAAAGTGCCCTAATGGGTTTAAACGGAAATTTTATTTGTTTTGAAATGTAGATTCTGGGAACTCCATGTCACCCAGTTTCAGCCTTAAAAGTTTCCCCTTTTTGCTGGCAGAAAAAATATATTTGGAAAAGCGACCCACCCAAAAGATGTCCTCTGAGGAGACGTATGGAAAAGTTTAATTTTTCCTTAAATCAACATCACGTCAGTCATGCCTGCGCCAGCTTCTTTTCCATGTCTGCCCGGTGAACACAAAG